TATCTCCGAAATTTTATAATATGCGTAACGTAAACTATAGCATGTTAGAGCGTTAACATCGTAAGCGCGTTCTATGAGCCATATTCTGATTGGAAATCCATTTCTAAATGAAGCAACCCGTATTATGACACACATGGCCGCCAATCTATGCGCTTGTACATACAGTGTTTGAGAAGTAATGAAAAATTTTATCGCATAGGGATAGAATGAACTAAACTGAGAAGAAAAGCCCTCTACCATTTTACAATTTTCGTAATAGTCAACGAGATATTAATTTATAAAAATATCTAAATACTCTAAAGAAATAGACGCAACTAAATTACTTGTTTTTTATGACTTAAGTAATGATTTATTGTTAGCGAAAATATAATTTCAACATAATGAGTGTATACATCACAGTTCAAAATTATGAAAAATAGGGAATATGTAAACTCCTGAATTTATCGCATGATATAGGCAATCGAAACTTTCCCGTAAAAAATTCGCCACGCTGGTTGGTTGCTGCTCCGCTGCTTGACGCTTGCATATAAAAGGCCTGTTCTTTTTCTCTGCACTGTGCCCACAGTGCAATAAGTTGAAGTGAAACAGATATACGTTTGTTTCACTTCAACTTATTGCACTGTCTGAACTGGTGCAGACAGTGCAGGCAAAAAGAACAAGCCTAAAATTCATTTTTCCAGTACTGATTTTTCCAGTGGAAAACGTTTTAGGGAATTTATTCCGCCGAGAGCACAGTACTGCAAACATGTAGCTAGGGTTATATCTTATTACTCATTCTGCCGCTAACGTTGCGAGGACGTTTGAGTTGGTTGGCTTGAGTTTTTCTTTCCAATAACCAAGATGTCTAAAAGAGGTGAGTTTGTTTTCGAGGAAATAAAATCCAGTAAAATCGGTACCGGGACGATGCATCGATCCTAAGCAAAGGAACGAGAAGACAAAAGCACGTCCCGTGCGTGCGACAGGATGAAACGTTACTTTATTAACAATGTATTCACGAAAATAAAAGAATGGTCCTTCCAATGCTGCTGTCTCAATGCATTATTTGTTGTTTCTTAAGGACGTGGTGGATCGGCTGGAGCCAAATTCAGGATATCCTTGGGTCTACCAGTCGGTGCGGTTATCAATTGCGCCGATAACACTGGTGAGTCTGAGAAATACCGTTTGCATGATACCTAACCTTGAAGAGCAATCCCATGCCTTATGAGTAAGATGAGCACATGGTTGATCGTTGTTTAGGCTTGTCAAGTATTTTTACGACCGGTGTTTCCCAGTTTGTTGATTACTATTTTGATTACTGTAACTTCATTGTATGCACATCAAACCGGCAAAGTCAGATTAAAGTATTTTATAATACAGTTGCAAAACTGCTTTTTCTGCTGAGTATAGTTCATAAGAGTTGAATAAAAGAATGAAGGTCAATATTCATAGTCAATTCTTATACTTGAGACTGTCTTAAGCACAGTCCTAAGATATCAAACCAATCAGAGGATTATATTAGCATCTTAAGACATTACTTAAGCTGTATGTTCAATAATAGAACTACTGTCCATGGTACCTATCATGAAACAAAGTCGGAATGGATTCTAATCAGAGTTGTTCAATTATTCCATAGATTTCTATTGTTTTTTAGGGAAAATGGAATAATTCTTATCGGAATCCATTCCAACTTTGTTCCATGAGAGATACCCAAGTTCTTGAATCAAGAAATGTGTAGCTAATCAATATATAATTTTTATGAAAAAATATAGGATAAGAATTTGGACAATTCTAGCATTGTGGATGCAGGGTTTTAAGATGGTTTAAAATAAGAATGGATTATAAATACCAATTAAGGATACTAATACTAGAGCTATCACAGGCTGTTCATATGAATTAATATCATTTATTTTGAAAAATATATATTAATGTAAATGTTTTGATCTTAGGTTTGGGTCTTCTTCAGTACAAAGCTAAATAGAATTTGATAATTAAAATTGAATAATTAAACTATACACAAAGATGGTCAGTACATTATGTTTGCTCACTACACATCAAAATGTCCATTTTGCTACATGAATTAAAATATAAACTATTTTTTGTTAATTAAATAAAATGTTTACATTTATTAATATATATTTTTAAATAAATGATATTAATTCACACGAAGAACCTGTGATGGCTCTCATTGACATTAATTTGTTTAATTCATTTATTAATTTTTGATATGTTCCTCTGTAACAACTCTATTGTTTTTAGGTGCCAAGAACCTGTATGTCATCGCAGTGCAAGGAATTAAGGGTCGATTGAACCGTCTGCCAGCAGCGGGATCTGGCGATATGATTGTTGCCACTGTGAAGAAAGGAAAGCCTGAACTTAGGAAAAAGGGTAAATTAATTCAATCTGCTATATGTGTTTGATGCCTGTTTTTCTGCTCGATTATTTGCATTTGGATAAATGTCTCTTCTGGGACACGTTGGAATTGAGTGCTCTCCTACTTGAGTGTTCTCTAGATATCATGTTCGTTTAACATTACGGTCCACTTGGTACTACAAATGCTTCGAAACTTTTGATCAACCAATTGAAAGAAAGAATTGTATTAATTAATTAATCAAAGAATACTTCGATTTGTAGCATTAAGTGGACTGTAGCCTCAGTGAGCAACAAAGATAAAATAATACCTGGGTGGCACTCAGTTGAGAATCTGAACACAGCCTTGTGTGTAATGAAATTTTGAAACTTAGTAATTTATTAAAGCAACTCAGTAAGGAGAAACAAACATGTGTCATAGACTTTTATTCTCTTGTTATCTTTCATTATTTTCTTTCTCTAGAAGAAATATTATCTTTTTCGAATTGAATAAACACATGTATCATTGTAGTAATGCCCGCGGTGGTTATACGGCAACGAAAACCATTTCGAAGGAAGGATGGAACGTTTATATATTTCGAAGACAATGCCGGCGTGATTGTTAACAACAAGGGTGAAATGAAAGGATCAGCTATTACAGGACCTGTTGCGAAGGAATGCGCGGATTTGTGGCCAAGGATTGCATCTAATGCCAGCAGTATCGCGTAATTCACATCCTGTATAAATCTACTGTCCTTTACAATAAATCTGAAAATAAATAATACACATTTGGGTTCAATGTCTGTTGTGAGCGAATTTGTGTTCAAAATTCATATTAAAGTTCCCTATTGAAAAGAAAATCTTACTTTGAAATTTCAGGATAAATCTGTTGAGTTTATTGTTTCACCTTGTTTCATAATACATACACAATCGACCCTCTGTATTTTGAAACAAAGTGAAAATTATAAAAATGAGCGAATTTACTAGAATATTTGTAATTTCATTGGTTGAGAGATAGTAAATTTGGTCGCTAATTTTCATCTCTTTACAAAATACAACAGATCATCGATCATGTAATTTTTCAAAAAATTACATGATCGATGTAATGATCGCTAAAGCGAAAACGTGAAAATGAAAATTTTTATAATCATGAATTCAAAGGTTGCAACACTTATGGATTTTGGAATTATCCTATTCACTGAGCGATTACTTTTTATTTATGGATCCATATGTAATTTTACATAGCATGTGTATTTTAGTCATGTGTGAAGGAATTTTTATTCTCCGAAACTATTATGAAGAAATTGGACAGAAACGAAAACTTTAAGAATGCTAGTTTTATCAGTAATACAGGCAGCTCTAGTATTCCCTTAATAATGCTCGACTTTTATTAAAAACTAATTTAACATCCGAGTTTGATTATCAACAAAGATGATAACTCTTATTTTAGGTACTCTATTCACTTGCAGTTTGAGTACCTATAATAAAGGTACGGTCAATAGGGTAAAAATCGCTAATTTTCATCCCTTTACAAAATACAACAGATCATCGATCATGTAATTTTTCAAAAAATTTTTAGGTACTCTATTCACTTGCAGTTTGAGTACCTATAATAAAGGTACGGTCAATAGGGTAAAAATCGATGATTGGTCTACCAAATTGAGGCAACGCGGAAGTTTTATGCTTGCTAACTACGAAGAAATAAGACTGATGCGATTGATTTGACTGCATTTTCGTTGTATATGTGCGTTGTATTTTTTTCTCACATTTTCGTAAGCATTATCATTGGGCGCGTTCAGCGGACTCAACAGTTGAGTGAGCGCTCGCTGTTATTGGTGTATTCTTTTAGATCATCCAATAAGAATTTTAGATCTAGAAGAAAACACCAATAACAGCGAGCGCTCACTGAACTGTTAAGTCCGCTAAATATGCCCAATGTTACTTTTGCTGCATTCACACTGTACAATATTCGATGGACGACGTCCAATATTCATTAGAAGAATTTGTTTCTTAAAACAATGAATACAAATATTCGTTCGAGCTCTCGAAATTTAAAATTAATTATTTAATAAATGAGCTATTAGAGCAAATAAAACAGTAATTAAAGCGCAATTTCAATTATATTTAAAAAATGTATATGTATAGATATAAATATTATATCTAATATCATCAGCAGTTAACAAAATAATTGCTGTTGTAAATATCCAAATTCCACAGATAAAATTTTTATCATAGACCGAGGATGAGCATTTCTCTACTTCAATAATTTACATCAAGTTAATAGAAAGTAACATGTACAATTTACAATCATTTTATAAATCTTTAACTTAGATACATCTCGATGTATCAAAAAAAAAAATCTAAAAAGAAGGAAACATCTGTGACATTATCAAATTCGGAATTGAAACTTTCCATTAAAATTGAGAGAAAAAGATTAAATTAAAATTTTTTATATAACTGACTTCTAAGTTTTATCCATGTAATGAGAAAATTACACTAAGGGGAAATAAATATTTTTGTAATTGCACAAGTTAACGTTTAATAAAACTATCAAACGATAAAACAAAATAACTCTATAGAATTAGCAACAGTATAGAAGACAAAAACATTTTATTTACAGATACAAATTTTCAGAAATTAATACAATCCACTAAATTGTAAACTTTAGCTCCTGAAATACAAATATTTTCCAATCATAAAATTTTTTAATAAGAATTGGTAACTTAAATTCTAACTTCGACAAATATAATAATCAGACTCTTTAGATTTCTTCACGTTTCTTTTTCCTTTTTTATTTTTATCTCAGTAATATTATCTAATAGAATGGGGTTTACCCTCTTTAGAGCTTTACGTGATTCAGAACGTGCGTCCATAATGGTTTCATTATCAAGCAGTGATTTGGATTTTTTCTTATGTTTTTTAGGGGTATTATCAACTTCTAAATTATTCAAAAAATCATCATTATTTGACGAAGTACTTTGCAGTTTCTTTTCGGATTTAATAGTTATACAAGTATCATTCCTCATGTTATCATCTTGTTTTATTTCAGTAATACTATCTAATAGAATGGAGTTTTCCCTTTTTAAAACTTTACGTGACTCAGCACGTGCGTCCATAATGGTTTCATTATCAAGCAGTGATTTGGATGTTTTCTTATTTTTCTTATGTTTTTTAGGGGTATTATCAATTTCTAAATTATTCAAAAAATCATCATTATTTAACGAAGTACTTGGACATTGCAATTTCTTTTCGGATTTAATAGTTATACAAGTATCACTCCTCATGTTATCATCTTGTTTTATTTCAGTAATACTATCTAATAGAATAGAGTTTTCCCTCTTTAGAGCTTTACGTGACTCAGCACGTGTGTCCATAATGGTTTCATTATCAAGCAGTGATTTGGATGTTTTCTTATGTTTCTTATGTTTTTTAGGGGTATTATTAACTTCTAAATTATTTAAAAAATCATCAATATTTAACGAAGTACTTTCACATTGCAGTTTCTTTTCAGATTTAATAGTTATACAAGTATCATTCCTCATGTTATCATCTTGCATACTTTGGTTTTGCTGTTTCTTTTCAGATTTAATAGTTTTAGAAGTATTGCTTCTTACATTCAACTCAGATTCATTTTCAATTTTACAAACAATTTCCGTATTGCTTTCACGATACTTGTGTTTCTTCCGATGTTTTTTCTCTTTCTCAGAAATACCATCATTTTCCAATAATTTATTAATATTAATCTTCATAAAAGTATTTGCATTTTCAATTGCACTATCTACATTATCAATATTAGTTATGCTTTCTGATAATCTACAACCTTGCGAATAATCTAATTTCAAAATGGCACAGATGAAAGGAGGGTTACTCTTATGATGTATTTGAGTAACACAACATTTTATTTCCTGGCCAATCTCCACTGACTCACCTAGCCATTGCTCTGTATTGTCTGGTTTCGGAATAGATACTGTATATACTTTATGTACTAGCATTACAATATAGTCCAAGCCCTTTTTATTTACTATACCTGCAACATAATATTAATATTATTATGATTTATTTAATTCTTAAAATCCAGTGATATTGTTATTAATAAATATTTCATCTTCATCATATCAACGAGTTATTCAATAATGTCTTACTACTTCTAAGTAATTCACCTTTTAAAAAAGACCCAACTGTTGGATGGAATAGATAGAAATCTGCTTCAATGTCAACATGAATAAAGGGAGAATCATAGAGCAGTTCTCCTAGATTGCTAAGCAATTTAGGATTTCTAAAAGCTAGCACGAATCCTTTCAGTCTAAAATGTAAAATTATTTTGTTAAATTCTATTGTAAATAATAATATATAATATGTATAATAAATAACTGAGACATCAGAGATAGAGAATTTATATTTATATATATTAAAAGAGTGTATATGTGAATGTACATACTCTCTGTCATAAGTATTCAACAACGATCTTAGAATTTGATTTAGACTTTGTTGAATATTGTTCAAGTGATATGGATGTAATGCAAGGTGCTTGGTGGTCCTCACAAAGTGCACGTGAGAGTCCTCGTCTTCTAAGAGACCTTCCAGTTCCAGAGTGGTCCATGTCACTCCACGATTCTTTTGACAAGATTTCATGGTAAAGGTATAGAATACCCCGCTCCTCTCCAATTTTGTTAAAAATATACTCAATCAATGCGTTTTTGCATGAAACGAAAGAATGTGGCAGAAAAAAGTGTTGCTCTGCCCTACGAACCGAGATATTTAGCGTTAAAGTTGACGACTATTCAGGTTAGAAAATCTGTCTTTCCCACAAAACATATATACTTTCCGACTACATGTAGTACTATGCGCATGCCTTCTTCATGCTCTCTAACCTCTGACCACATGCGCATGCGTTTAGCCACGAAATTTAAAATCATATAAAGGCTGCGTTCCGTTTCTCGCATATGCGCGCATTCCCCTATAGTATACGTGACGCTCACTATAAAAAATGCGCGCATATGCCTGAAACGGAACGCAGCCTATAATTCATTCTTTAATATGATTTTAAATTGGCTAAAGGCATGCGCATGTGGTCATATTAAAGAAAATTAGGCTGTGTTCCAAAATTTATTGCCAATACTGAAAATGTATAGTGCACGTGACGAACACTATAGAATTTCAGTCTGACAGTAAATTAATCATATTAAAAGAATGAATTATAATTAATTTTGCGACGCAAGTCGCAAAATTAAAAAATGTTTGCGGTGTGCGATGAAAGCGACATAATTTTTCTACACTTCATAAAATAACGCGAATTTATAAATTATATAACGTGAAATTGAAAAGTTAAGGAAATTATAGGGAATTAAAATAAATCACAAAATAAGGGAGATAAAGATCGACGAATCGCGAATTCAAATAACAGAGATCGATAGAAGGTATAGCTCCAAATAATTTTATCTTAATTGACGATGGCTAAAGTGTTGACTCTACTAAAGACAATACGTAATAACTGGAAGAAGTCTGTGGTAGGAGCCGCGGCTTTCTCATATGGAATATCGTACGGTAAACAAGCCTACGAGTGAGTAACCATGGGGAGTATAACCTCAAATTTACATGCACATTGAGTGCTTTGTGACACAAGTTTGTTATTCATTGATTTCCAAGAAAGATAAACTAATCTTTATATGTCAACCTGTGTCATTAAATGGAAAGCACTCATTGTAATGCTGTGTGAATCTTTGGACATCAATTTATTCATAGCTATAAATATAAATTTTTTTGTAGCAGATAAAACATCATGCTTACATACATAAACTTTAAATGTAATATTTTAATTTTATATCATTAAATTTTATTGTATAATATCTAGTATAATATCTATAGTAGTTGTATAATATTTAAATATTATATCTAGTACGGAGCAGTTAATGCGTCAATATTGCGAAGAAGTAGTCCAGTACGGAGATGCTTCTTGTCCTACAAACATTAGGCCTCGTCATGTAACTGTTATTTTAAATCCGGCTGCTAAAAAAAGGTAGTTGTAAACTTCAATATTGGTACAAAATATTGTTAACTCTCTTTGTTGACCTTGTTTTCTCTTTTTAGAAAAGCTAAAAAATTATTTCAAAAGTACTGCGAGCCTTTATTACACTTGGCCGGTATTTCGGTAACTATCATCGACACACAATCAGGAAGCCACATACGTAACACAATAATGAATTTGGATATACCTACTGACGCGATTATTGTAGCAGGAGGAGATGGTACCTTGTCAGATGTTATAACTGGCTTGATGAGGAAATATGAGCGCAATCTTTATTCGGCCAAACAATGTCCCATTGGTGTTTTGCCATTGGGAAGTACAAATACAATCGCGAGCATATTTTATCGAGGATACAAAGATTTAATTGATATACACCACATAATTGACTCAACAATGGCAATTATTAAAAATAGTCTCAAATCAATAGATGCCATTGAAATCAAATTACTGAATGTATGTACTTTCATCGTATTTCATTTGTTTGACGTAGATCAAATTGCATTGAAATAGTAATTTTTATTTAAGGATGATCCAGAAAATTCCATAAAACCAGTTTATGCTGTTGGAGGCGTAGAATGGGGAGCTTGGAGCGATACGCATGCTCGCATTGATAAATATTGGTATTGGGGTTTTTTACGCAAGTAAATCTCTTAATTTTTTTAAGCAAGACTTTCTGTGCCTTTGTCTTATGTTTTTTGATGTATTTGAATATAAATAGATATGCAGCCTATGTGTTCAATGGTTACAAATCAAACTTGAACTGGAAGTGCAATGCATTAATAAAATATACAAATCCTTGCAAAGGATGTTCATGTTGTTATTCCAAAGATTTGTCTTACAATCAATTTACGAATTCGAATAGAAGATGGTGGTATGCATTTCTGCCAAAGAAACAAACATTTAAATCTGGTAATGAAATTTTTTAAAATTTAATATTGATTATTCAGGATGTTATTAAAATCGAAATAATAGGATGAAATGATAGAAAGAAATATGATAAAACGTTTCAAGGAATTTTTTAAGAATAAGCTTTATCTGTTAAAGAAAGAAGAAAATTGATCAAATATTTTAATAGCATCTTTTGTATGTACATGTATATAATTTTAATAGATAAGAATATATTTTGTATTATATATATATAATATAAAAATATATTTTAGATAATCACATCGATTACAGTAAAGTAGTGAACAATGATTGTGGCATATTTCATGAAATGCCTATTTCAACAACAGAGCTATGCATAAAAACCGAAAATCTATCAATTCAGTCAACACCTTTATTAAAAATAATCTTAGGTAATGATAAATTTTATATATATATATATATATATATATATGTGCGTATATTTATCAATTATTTGAATATTGGAAATATAATTCAAATTCAAAATATACTCAATTTTTTTTATATTAAGGCCCAGAAAATATTAATTATGCTAAATTCGTTGAGAAAGGATGGAAACAAGAAAGGGGCAATAAACTGCCAACAAATTTAATATTAGATGCAAAGGATATTGAATTATATCCTGAAATAGTAAGTTTTTTTTCGTAAATATTGATAAAAAATATTTTATATATTAATATACATTAAAATACGTAAAATTACTTTGTAACTGTATCAATTTTTAGAGATTATAATGAAGTTATTGGTTTTGTTTCAGACGAATGAAAATCAGATGTTTTATATCGATCACGAAGAGTACGAATTGAAGCCGATTCAAATACGATTACTCCCACAATCTGTAACAATTTTCTGTCCTCAATCAAATAATTAATAATACATAAAAATAATTAAAAATTATTTTGCTGCATTTAATGCTCATGTCAACTCAATGTGTTTTAAATTATCTAAAAATGAATATAGAAGGAATGATAAAAAAGATATTCAACCAAATGTTAAATATATAAAAAATTTATTTAATATAAGGTAGTATAAGGTAGGCTCCCACTACATTACCTTATTGATGAGTCCAATAGTGGAAGCCGGGGCGAAACGCCAACTTGTGATATTCTTCGCAATCTTATTTTTCACAGATTTCAATTATTATTACTTTAATATTAAATTTTAACATATGTCTTTCAACATATTATTAAGATCTAATAAGATGCTATAAGCATCAAAATTTGTTAGATTGATTGTCAATCTAACTAAAGTGATATTACCGCGGTAGTTATTTAGAGTTGCGTTGTAAGTCTGAAAAAATGTTCGGCACGCGATTGAGAGAACTACATACGCGATATATAAATTCACACATAATGATAATAAGCATCTTGATCTAGCTTTGACCGATAGGCTTTGCTTTGTGCTTCCTTCTTTCTTATTATTTAATATATCTCTTCTATAAAAATAATAATTTATTGGCGGGTACAAAAAAGATTTCAATTATAATGGTCGCTAATTTTTATATAATACATTTATGCGCTAATGTAATGTCTAACACAATACTTATACTAAAAAGTTATGTCAGATTGTATCTATTTTACACACACATAACTTCGAATCAAATAATTTTAAATTAAAATCTTGAAAACTATGCAAGGTACATTATTGCGAGTAAGTTTTAATATCTCTTTTTACGCATTTCATCATTTCAAGAATTAGCGTAAAAGTTCTTATCGTTTTATAACCAGTCTTCTTTTTCATTAAACATGCTGTATCATGAGCAAGTTTAATAAACATATTTTATCTATTTTATATTATTAACTGGGATTTTAAGATTCTTTTATATACTGTAAAATAAAAAATTGAAAAATATATTAAAATTCAATTCCTAAATATCTTTAATTCATAAATTTCTTAATTCATGAATTATTATAAAATTCACGTACTTTGTTTTCAAGATATACTCTGTGACAAGTTACCATTATCCGATGGTAATAACTTTATCAAAAGTTTCATTTTTCTTTTAATATTAATGTGAACAAGATTTTAAAATACTTCGCTTTTATATTATAAAATAAAAATTGAAATTGAATCCGAAAAGAATTTCAATATTCAATTCGTGAATATATTGTGAATTACCAAATCCTATGTATATTATTTTCAAGTTGATGGCAAATTATTATTATTATTCGAAGATATTTCCTTTACACTATCTTTACTAATAGCTTTAAAGAAGTCCAGTAAAGAAACACTTTTTGTTGTTTTTGTGACTTTTTGAGGTTCAGTTGATCGTGATCTATTGGATCTTCGACTAGGAGTTGATTGAGTCTTTGGACTGCTTGAAACTGATGCTGTCTTTTTTTGTTCGTATCTTTCCTTCCTAATTTTCGTTAACCAATCGACATTTTCCTTGTACTTTTGCGGTGATATTTCAAGCAAATGCGGTGCCGTTCCATCCATTACAAAATTTGGCAGGTTTAATGTAGGCGAAAATATGGTTTCATTCTTGCTTGTGGATTGGCTCGTGCTAGGTTCGTCCAAATTGTTATCTCTACTCGTACTAGGGGTCTCATTACTTGGACTGAACAGTCTTCGCATACCACGATTATCCATGTGAACTCGTTTCGCAACCATTTCGTGGTTTTCATGAATAGGTGATAAAATGCATTTAAATTTTCCTTCAGATCTTGATCCCATCATTTGCAGATAACTACGTTTAACAGAATTGTGTTTGTTTCCATTGTAATCTTCCTTACTAGATTCAGGAGTCGTAACTGTGAGGAATAAAAATATTTCTTTAAAAATAATGCAAAATTTGTCACAAATTTTATAGAACTCAAAGAAAAGTCTTTTTTAAATTATTCAAAACTTAAAATCGCTTTGCGATTTATAGTTTCCAAACTGAGACTTATTAAAGTTATATTTTTCATTTATTTGCATATAAATCTTACACCTCCATGCAATAACTTTTATGCTTACGTGGAGTAGAAACAGATGCTTTGTATTCGTCTGAACATGGTGTAATTTCCTGACAAGTATTAGAGTGTCGAGAACTCGGGGTAGTTTCTAATTTCATTTTTTCTAAAAAGTACTTTTCTACAACTTCAGCTTGACCGCGTATTATTACTTCTTTGTTATCTTCTTCATGCTCAAGTCCAATTCTCCATATTTTATGACAAGCATCATCGGAGCAAGTCACTATCTGAAATAATTCTTAAGATTAAATATTAAACTATCAAATCTAAATTATAAAATCATGTTGTATATTTCTCAGAATTGTATCACGCGGTGAACTTCAGATAACTGTAAATATGCAAACAGTACTTTTTAAAAATATTTTTATTATGTATAATAAAAAAAGCTTTTTATTTAGTATTCATGATAATAAATCATAAAATGGAACCTTAGTTTCTCTGGTACTGCACCATGCAATGCAAGTGACTTCATCTGTGTGACCGGAAAGTTTAACTAGCGGTGCGCCCGGTCTGTTAGTGTTCCAAATATACGCGAGTTCATCACTGGATCCACTGGCAAGGTAGCGGCCATCATAACTCAAACAAGTCTTTACATAGTATGTATGATTTTGATGTCCATGATACTCTGCCACTGTCATAAATAATTTTTTTCAGGGTTTTATTTCGTTAGAATTAGAATAAAATGTACTAACATATTTTATAATTCAAAGGAAAGGAATATTTACTCGGTTTACGATTATACGACGATATATTATAAGCATATATAACGTTATCCATGCAACTTGCATATAATGTGATTCTAGCTGGACATATTAACAATGAAGAGAAACCATTTCTAGTACTATTCCCTGAATAATTCATTAAATGTTTAGCTATCGGCTCTTTCTTGTGGACAGTGTAATTCTTGCGCAAGTCCCACACCTTCAGCAGACTGAAATCAAGAAGATATTGTACATACACTATACTCCTACACAAATACGCAGTAGGAAGCAAGGAAACTTACCCATCACCTGCAGCACATGAGATTAATGTAAAGTCATCTTGAAACACTAAACCAGTAATACTATGCGCTCGTGATGCTTGAGAGTGCGACTTCCGTTTTGTATTGCTGGTGCCACCATAACTGTGCGCATTGGCAATGCAGTTATCTGGTTTAGGTTGATCATTGTGATTGGCTCTGATGTCCCATATCATGATGAAGCCATCTCTAGCACCCGTTGCAAAAACAGCTAAAAATATTTTTTAAATACTAAGATATTCTAAACTGTACATTATACCATGAAATTTACAGCTTTAAAAATGAACATAAAGAATTAAATCGTGAAAAAAAAACATTTGTATATGTTGGAACTTCGTATAAAAAATAAAAAATTCTAGCATTTTTGAAAACAATTTTTTTTTCAAGAAATACAAATGTTTATCAACTAATTACTGAGCAAGCCAGATACCTTTGTCATCATCGCGAAACACTGCTGTTTTTACACTTCTTGTATGTGCATGAAAATAATTAATTTGTTTTATTTCAGGACTAGCAACATCCCACAAACGTGCTGTGTGATCTCCTGACACTGTAACTAGCTTCATCTCTCCAGGCATCCAGGCAATGTCAAAGATTGCATTACAGTGTGCCTTAAAAAATAAACATTTTTCTTGTTAATATTTCCGTGTTCATACTAAGAAAAATGTTTGTTAAATAGCAATAGAAATCAATGGCAACCTGTGTTCCTTCTAATGGTAGATTATTTTCATTCTTAGTTTTAGTATTTTGAAAAGCAACTTTTCCATCCTCATTTGCTAAGGCAAGAATCTCCTCATATCCTGGCGTGGTACAAAAACGACATGCAAACACTGGTGGCCCAGGATTGTAATCAGCTGCATTTACATTCAGAGTTATACCATGATACACATCGTCATAATAGCATTTCAGACGATGAAGAGCAATATCATAATCACATGTCGTTCCTGAACATCAAGTAGTTAGCATACCATTAAAATTTAATAGACAATACTTAAATAATTTATTTGAATTTAATTATTCTTTTTAACATAAAATAATATGTGGCCCAGTAAGAATAAAAAAATTCACAATAATATTATAAATTAGAAGAGTTACAAGCCAACAATATTATTTAATATTTAAAATATAAAAATAATAAACATTATAAATAAAACAATCATTTTGACACTGAACAGATCATTATCAATATTAAGCGAATAAAACTGTTATATAAATTAATTCGATAAAACATAATAAAACATAAAATAATAAAACAATACATGGTCTAATAAGTCATCAAAAATAAGAAAACAGATTTTTCAATTATTTAATTAATTAATTTTATTAGATTATATTACAGTAATTGTTGCAACAAAAATGTTGACAGCATTTTAATTTTCAAATACAAACTGTATTATTCTAACTATCTAGAATATCATCAAAACTTGCAGATAGAAGCAATATTGATAACAAATTATGTTCTTAGCAATCAATCTTCTCTAATTATAGTATATGCCATTATAATATATGCCATATAGTTGTACTTTATAGCTACAAAGCATTATACAAATTTGTCATTAATGATAAGTCATCGATTACGACATTTAAATAACATTCCAAATTAATTTAAAAAAAAAAACCAATCCGATTGGTTCCATTACAATATAACCTGCACCTGTGCAAAATAAAAGGCTATTTAAATCTCCCCCATAAGACGTATAAGCCACTGTTTATTTACCGAATCCTCTTTCCCGTCGTTGAATAACATTTGTTATGTTCATTTTATACTGACATCAATAAAATTCCGAAAATACGCTTCTAATTTATTATAAATATGTATATACACACAAAAAATTGTTTATACACGCGCGATACAGCGATGCGATTTCCAACCCGCTCTTAGCAGTCGATCAGCGCGCCATCGCTCAGCGACCAGGCGCAACCGGCAGCACACGCAAGAACAAGCTCTTGTACGTGTACAAAATTTCTGCTACAAAGTCACACGTACACGAGCTTTTGCTTGAGTGTG